TTTTTTTTGAAAACAATATTTTATTTTTTTTTTTTATTTTTTTTTATTTTCTTTTAATTAAAACTTTGCAAAAAATTTATTAACAAAAAAAAAAAACAAACCAAAAACACAAAACAAAAAAAAAAAAAACAACTCTTATTTTTTAATTTTCTTTATCATTATTACTATCAGTAATATTATTATTATTATTATTATTATTATTATTATCCTTTCCCTTATTCTTATTTTTATCATTTGTATTATTCATAAACTTAAATCAAAGATTTTCTGTTTCCAATTCCCGAACATGCTTTTCAAGGTCTTTAATCTTCTGGAGTATGTCTTTTTAGGACTTTCTTTTTTTGAGCTCTGCATATGTATCGTTTAATTTGATATGCAAATGAGTACATCCAGAACAGCTTGAACCACTTGCAAACTCATCTGTTTTCTTTTCTAAATGGACTAATGAACTTTAAATGGCAGCTACGGTATCTTGTAAGAAGCCAATATAGGTTAATAAATCTTGATGAGTAGTAGTAGAATTGTTGGTGAAGGTCAAGGAGAAAGAGGCAGAGGACTAAATAGGCTTAAAACCAAACTTTTCAAGAGATATTTTTTTTAACTAAAATATATTAAAAGTTTAGTATTACGTTTTTGTTTAAACAAAAATATTAGCAAAAAGAAAACTATTATTTCATAATAGAGGAAACAAAGAGAAAATGCGCAAAAGAAAAACAAAAAGGGCTAGCTATACAATATTTAATATTGAGCTATGATCCTTTTCCACTTTAACCTGGGCACCCAAGGAGTCAAACTATAAAGCAGAAAGCACCAAGCGATCCAGTGGAAAAGCAAAAGTTCCTCTATGAACTAGTATGATAATTATAAATAGTGAAATTTAGAGACAAAAAATAATGAACAAAGATAATAACTTTGCAAGTGATTTTTGGGAAATATGGATAGAAAGTTAATTTGTGGCTAAATTGAAGAAAAAAAAATAAATCTTTTTCAAGTGATATTTATTTTTATTTTCCATTAGATTAACTAGAAAGTCTAGATCAATTAAAGTTTATCATAGCATCACTTAATATAATAAACTACTATAATTGACGATTATCAATAAAATCAAAAGCTAAAAATAGAAACTAAGCCTAACGATGAATTGATAAATTACAAATTAAAGTTTATGACTCATTTGTGTTAAAATTAGTAATGGAAACTTTTAGAATTTTATCAATAAAAGTTAAAAATAGAATAGTATATCATTTTGATTTAATGATTTGGAGAACCTCGCATCTTAAAGAAAGGAAATATGTAATAGAATTTTTTTTTTTTTTTTTTTATAGTTATTATTATTATATTTTATTAGTTTATACTAGTTTCTTATTATTCTTTATTATTATTATTTTGAGTATTTGATATTTTTTCTAAGTTTTTCTTATATTTTATTATAGTTATTTTTAGTTAGTCATAGAACAACACATTCAAGGAGGCTTCTAAACGTCAAAATGCTATAATTAGTCTTGTATATCATCACATGAGCTACACGATAATATGTGTTTTATTTTTAGTTAATATGTAAATTATTGAGTAATATAGCACCAAGTATTGCTAAAAATAATCTAAATCAGCATTAAACTTAGCATTGCTCGGCGGACTTTATTGGTGTTGCAAGCAATTCTACTTGGAATTTCCAAGTTGCCAAGACCTTACATATATTTTGAATAGTTCAAAATATTGCTGTAACACATAATAGTCCTAAAACCAATAAAATATTAGGCTAAAAAGCTATAAAAAGAATAGCTTTTTGCTCTTCTAAAAGCCAGTTCTTTTGCTATTTAAATTTTCTTTAATAAAATCATACTTATCTATTCTTATTCTAATATTATTATTAAAATTATTTCTTTTTCTTGTTTGTTTTATAGTACTTTAAAGCCTATTAAATTTAAATTCCATTATACAAATTATTTATTTTCTTTTTTATTATTTTCTTTAAATATATTCTCTTTAAATAAAAGATAGTTCACTCGACACTCGTGACTTTAAAGTTTGCTAAAGCTTGATAGTTTTTAGTAAATTTTACCACAATTTGGCAATGATGACAGGACTATCTTTCCAATTTAAGGGGAATTGTTAAATATATGAGTATATCGTTACCTCAAATTTCAATATTTGGGGAACCAGATTATTCTTTTATACAAACAAGAGAACTATTAGCTTTGTCATCACTATCTTTTTCTTCTAATTTTTCTTTTATTTCTTCTCCTTCTTGTTCTATATCTTCTTCTACTTCTTTTGTTACTACTTTACAATTTCAACTTCAGGAGCAACTAAATTATCAAAATAACAATATGGAAAATATACAAAATTTGTAGAATACTGTTTTGGACTATGCTTTGGATATCAATAATGATGATATACTATATATTAATAATGATCCAATTAGTTCTTTTAACAACTATAATTATAATCTTCCAAATAATCAAGGTTTAGGAACTGGTATTCAATTTACTTCAACTTCTTATTTACAATCACCAACAATACAATATTCTACAATACTACTTTAAACACATCCTATTTCTAATTCCCCTCTAGTTACTCAAGCTATAGTGAATATTAACCTAGTAGCTCATCCCAGCCTAATAATGAGGACAATATGCCTACTTTAAATTTTGGCAAACTTCTCACAGAGTCTATATCTCAAAATCCTAAACTACAACAAGTTCTTTATCATTTTAACCATTTAGTAAAAGCCTTGGAAAAAGATCCATCACCTGTAAAGGAATCACTTCTTGTTTCAATATCTGTTTTTAAAGGAGAGGAACAGGATCCTTTGCACTGGTTAAATGAGTTTGAAACCTCATGTGCTATTAATAATATTCAGGAAGCTTGAATGTTAGTTATTGTTCCTGCCTATTTAAAAAGCTTAGTACAATCTTGGTGGAGGGCTATATACACTCGAATGCAGTTTTGGAATAATGATGCAAGGCTAGCTAACTCATTTACTCATCGGTTCAAATATCAATTTTGTACTTCTCATCAAAAAACCCGATGGCTAGCTGATCTAAGGTTATGAATCCAACAACCAGGTAAAACTATTGAAAATTATTATGCTGAATTAGAGCATCTATATTGAAAGATCGATCCTAATAATCGATATCCTATAGAGGATAAGTTATGACAATTTATTGATGGATTGAGAAATAAAATTCAGGAGCCAGTGGAAATTTCTTATCCTACTACTTTGATACAGGCCTTAATTCGTGCTAAAGCTATGAAATCTACTTTTTATTGAGAAATGCCTCTTGGGTTATATTCTTTAAATAGAAGATATTTTAATCATTATTCTGGCTCTTTATATAATTCTATGAACAATACTTCTATAAGTAGCTAGGCTAATAATGAAGTTTTACAAGCTATTCAGGCTATTTTAAATTATTTTAAACAACAACCATCTTAATCTAAACCTAACTTTTTTTAAAACAATAATAATAGAGGTAATAAAAATAATAATTTTTCACAACAAAATAAAGTTGTTTGTTAAATTTGTGACAAAAAGGGACATATTGCTTGTGATTGTTACTAGAGAAATAATAATAATAATAATCAAAGTAGTAATAATAATAATTGAAATAGAGAAAATAACTGAAATAATAACCAAACCAATAATAACAATCATAATAATAATAATTATAATCAACAGCAAAGAAATAATTTCTAACAACAACAGCAAAATTCTTCTATTTTAAATAATTTCAATACTAGTTCTACTTATTATACTCTTTTTGCTAAAGATTTGCAAGATCTTATTCAAACATTAGCACAGTCTTTAAACTCCTAAAGACATGCTGTGAGGGTAGTAGTGCCTATAATTCTTCTTCTTATATATTATATTCTACTTTAAATAATCCTAACAATTTATTAAATATTTCTAATATATCTAATAAACAAATACATATTTTAAAGGACAATTCTTACAATATATCTAATAAACAAACATATATTTTAAAGGACAATTCTCACAATAATAATATAAATCAAAGTCAGTTAAAATTAACACCTTCACTAATTTCTACTGAGGTAAATCCCAAACCAAAGGAAGCTGTGAATATAGTTTATTGCAATGCTAGTATTGATAATACCTCTTTTTATTTAATTTTGAATACTGGATCACTTACAAGTGTAATGTCAAAAGCTTTTGCTAACAAACTTAATAGAACCCTTCAAAATATATTTCTCTGATATTAATGGTGGGAAAAAATGATCATTAGGAATTATTAATAATATACCCCTTCAAATATCTGATACTATCATTTCTATTGATGTGAAAGTAAATGATGCTCAAGGTTATGCTATAATTGCTGGTGTGGATTTGCTTAGTAAAGTTCAAGGTATAATTGACCTAAAACATGGACAATTTAAATTTATTTAAGAAAACAAATCTTATAATTTACCTATTACTTGTTGGGAAAAGCTACAATATAATAATGGTGAGCTTATTTCTCTAAATAATTCTAATAAGTCTAATGACTTAAATAATCAAATTTCAGCTTCTGAAACTAATTCTGATAAAATTAGTAAAGATGAATATGAATCATCTGATGATAAGCAAGAGGAATCCAAAGGATTTTTAGTTATAGGAAATTCTGATAGAAAACCTATACTTAAAATTAACAATACCCAGATAAAATATAAAAACAAATCTTTCAATAGTTATAATTTTTATTCACAAATAATAACAAATAATCACCAAAAAGGGAAATGTTATTGTGATCAGTTACAAAAAAATTATATACAAGTGGGGGAAGCAATAAGTTGTTTTGTAAACAAAGAAGACTTGGAAGAAACTAATTCTTCTTCTTTAGTAGATAATCTACAACTACAACAATTTTTAGTAGATAATGACTATATGTTTTCTAAAGAAATAAATGATTTAGGAAAAACAACTGTGGAGCAACACCAAATTATTACTGAAAATACACCACCTATTTACCAAAAGGCCTATCGTATGTCTCCAGCTAAACATGAATTCATTCAACAAGGACTTAATTCTATGTTGAAAAATGGATTTATATCTCTTTCTTTTAGTCCATGGTCTTCTCCTGTTGTTTTGGTTAAAAAGAAAAATGATAAACTAAGGCTCTGTATTAATTACAGGAAGCTTAATAAAATTACCAAACATGATGTTTATCTTTTGTCATAAATTGATGAAATTTTGGATACTCTTAAAGATTCCAAATAGTTCTCTACTTTTGACTTGGCTAGTGGATATTGGCAAGTGGAAATAAAGCCAGAGAACCGTGAAAAAACTGCTTTTATTACTAAATATGGGCTATTTGAATTCAATGTTATGCCTTTTGGCTTAACTAATACACCTGCTACTTTCTAACGAGTAATGGATAAAATCTTTTCTGATCTTAAAAATAAATTTATTTTAGTATATCTTGATGATATTACTATTTATTAAAAAACTTTTGAGGAACATTTAGAACATTTAAAGGAAGTTTTTAAATGACTACAAAATGCTGGGTTAAAATTAAAAAAAAATAAATGTTGTTTTGAAAAATAACAGCTAGCTTTTCTTGGACATATTATTAGTAAAAATAGTATTGCTCCTGATTCTTCTAAAATTGATAAGGTTCAAAATTATCCTGCACCTAGTAATCTTACTGAACTTTGAGGATTTATTAGTTTAGTCTCTTATTATTGAAGATTTATTCTTAATTTTTTACAAATTGTTCACCCTTTAAACATGTTGTTAAAAAAAAATATTCCTTTTATTTGGAATAAAACCTGTTAACAAGCCATGGATATCTTGAAGGAAAAATTAACAACTGCTCTTATTTTACAATATCCTGATTTTGAAAAACTATTTATACTTTTTACTAATGCTTCGTACCAAGGCTTGGGTGCTATTCTTGCTCAAAAGGATGATGACAATAATAAACATGTAATAGCATATACTAGTAGATCTCTGAATTCTGCTGAAATTAATTATTCTCCAACTAAAATTGAATGTCTTGCTACAGTTTGGGGAATGAAATATTTTCGACCTTATATTTATATGAAACCTTTTAATCTAATTACTGATCATTCAGCACTTCGTTGGTTGCTAAATCAGCCTAATCCTGCCAAAAGAGTTACTTATTGAATACAACAGATAGCTAACTATCCTTACACAGTCATATATCGCAAGGGACGAGTCTACTCAAATATGAATGCACTTTCTCGTCTTCCTAGAAAGCCACTCTAGAAAAAACATTAAACACTAACCAAAATGGAATCCACTCTTTATTTTAACATTTAACAACTTCGGAATTACTCCCAAATTTGACTTTAAAGGAACAACAACAATTTAAAAAACAAGCAACACATTATATTGTTGAAAACAACCAACTATACAGGAAACCAAAAGGATCTTTACAAAAATTACTATATGGGGGAGTCAATAGAAAAGGGACAAATCGTTTTTAGTAAAATTTTTTTTAATTTTTAAATTAAAATATCTCAACAACTAATTAATCAAATTTGCTAAAAATTTTTTTATTTTAATCTTGAAATTATATAGAATTAAAATAAAAAAAATTTATTAAATTTAATAAGATAATTGCCAAGATATTTAAGCCTTAAGTCAAAAAAACATTTACTTAAAAAAAATTTGTCACTTTTCTATTGACTCACCCTATATGTAGTTCAGGAATCTGAACTGCTTACTGTTCTGCATAGATTACATTCTGATCTTCTTGCTAGACACTTTGGCATTGATGAAACTTATAATCGTGCTAAAAACAAATACTATTGGCCTAAAATGTATAAAAGTATTACAAACTATATTCAAACTTGTGATACTTGTCAACAGCAAGGAGAAACCAAACAAAATCAACTCTTACATTCTATACTAGTATCAGCACTATTTTACCGAGTAGAAATTGATATTGTTGGACCTTTAAAAATTACCTCTAATGGAAATCAATATATTGTAGTAGCTACTAAATATTTAACAAAATGGCCTGAAGCTAAAGCCATATCTGATATTAAAGCTACTACTATTGCCAAGTTTATTTATAATGAAATTATTACTTGTCATGGATGTTCTCAAGAGTTATTGTCTAATCAAGGTTCTTTTTTTGTAATAGTCTAGTTGATGCTATTTGTCAACTAATAACAATTAAATATTGACTTTCTTCTGCCTATCATTCTTAAACTAATGGATTAACTGAATGGTTTAGTAAAACTTTGTATACTATGTTAGCAAAGTATGTTAGTGACTATAAGAATTCATAGAATACTTTTATTCCTGCTGCTTTATTTGTCTACCGAACTATTTCTCAATCTACTACCAAATATGAACCTTTTGAATTGCTTTATGGATGAAAAGCTATTACACTATTAGATTTAGTATTAAATTCTACAAATAATGCTAAGAAGCTACCTTATGAATAGCAACTTCAAGTTCATATTGATCTTATAACAAATAAATTACAGCAAGTCCAGTTAAAAGCTCAACAAAATATTGAAATAGCTCAACAAAAA